TTAAAAATAAAATAAAATAATAAAAATAAAAACTACTGTGGTAATATAACCCAAAATGTGATGTCCAAATGCGTGGACGCCTGGTCTTAAGAGGTTAAGGACAAGAACCTTTTTCTATGGTTTGTAAACATTAAAACAATAAATCATGAAGCTAAATTCACTTCTTGTGTTGGCTTTAGTGGTTGATTGTCAGTTAGGTTGCATATCTGATTTATTCCTGTTTGTTTGTGCATCAACATCAATAAACTCTCCAATAATCCACATTTTTGTGTCTTTTTGTGATTCCAGCTACAGCTTCATGAAAGCTGTCTGAGTGATCTCTGTTGTCTGTGAACTAAATCAGTGTTTCTCTGCCTGTAGGTGTTTTTAACTGTGATTCTTTACAGATAACTGGAGGAGACACTTGACTCTTCACATGATGAGAGAACAACAGTGATGATTTAGTTTAAGGCCTTTTTAGTGGAATAATTGTGTGTTTTCTCATGTGTGGTTTGTTGCTGTCTCTAAGGAGAACATTTGTGCAATAATATAGATTCCTCGAGTTTAGTTTGTTCACCACAAGTATTGTAAAGTTATTAAAGTATGTTGAGACCATATGAATATTATTTAATGTGTGTGTAAGACTTGAGCAGATCCACTCAGCTCTTGTTGTCTTCTGGAAACAAACAAGAAATTAGTGGTTGCACCTAAATCTGCCTGGCAACTGTTGTTCCACTTTTCTTTACATTATACCTACAATATAAGGTCCTCTAGAGACAAACACCAAACTGTATCACATCTTTAATGAAGCTGTGATGACAATAGTTTTTTTATGTTGCAATCCAAATGTGACTTCAGTTTCTTTTAGTTTATTTTTTGAAGTTATGTCATTAATTGCTAACAGCCTGTCAGCTTCACAGGTTGTATCAGCGAAGAGAAGCTTCAAATGTTTACTGACATTTAAGCTGATTATTGTTTATTCAGTGGTGAAAACCTGAAAATGGTGAAACCTACGAGGCTTCATGGAAACAGACATGACAGCTGGTGCCACTACAGTAAGTTTCATATTTAATGTCTGACAAAAACGTTGCTGTCTCACCAACCTTTATGATGTTTTAATCTATGAATGATATAAAAACACACTGCATGCTCAAATGCATTACTAGTAGAACCTCCTCTTTTAGGTGTTAACACACATTTATCCATAAGATACTGTGATGTTGGAATATAAAAGCTTCACCAATCCCACGTTGCGTTGATTTTTTTTACAGACTGAGGATATTTTTTAACAGATATGAAGCAGAATAAAATAAAATCCTGGTACAGTTCGGTGTTGAATCTGAAATTAGTTTCACAGCTCATTGCAGAAATAACATAAATTTCTTTTTAAACTTCTGATTATTGGCTTGTTGGAGCTCAGATAACTACAGTTACACAAAGTATATACATATATTTAGTAGATTTACAAAAAGGGACACCACACATATCTCTGTAAATAACACTGTGGTATCTAATAGCCGACCAGCCACAGTTTGGTTTCACTGAAATAATCTATGAAAGGTTGACATATCAAATAGAACTTAAGAACCTTTCCTCTCTGTGATTTTATTTTATACTTTTAAGAGCTTCGTCACTTCTTTCTGCAAAGTCACGTGACCTGGTGGGTTTTTCTGTTTCCAGTTTAATAAAATGAGTCTTTGTGCTCACAGTGTCACAAAACGTGACGCATTAGTGATTATTTGACACCTCAACTTTCACACTGAACACAAGCAGAACTGTGTCTGGTTTGAGCTGCTTCTGTCAGACCTGGAGCAGAGTTTGGAGTGTTTTAGTCCAATAGTTAACAGTGTTTCAGCTTCAGTCCAGGAACATGTGTGCTAATGAAGCTGGTGTCTGTCCACATCAATCACAGCACTGGTTCACTGTAGGAAGCATCTTGGAGAGTCTCAGTTGGGATCGTGACAGTCTGTGTCATATCTTGAACTGTAAAAATCCCTGTTTGATGCAAACACAGGAGGAATGGAAGTGGGCCTTTCTCCAGTGATGCTCTGTGGTCTCTCCTCTCAGATCCTCCTGTCAGGATTCTTCTAGCTGATCACATGCGTCTGTACTGTTTATTTGTGGCAGCATGTCGTGAATTTTAGACACGGCTGCTTTATGTTAAAGGTTTGGACGAGAGCAGTGCATCCTACAGCAGCGTAATATATCAGTTTATGTTCATTATTACAGGTCAGATCAGTCAGTTGGACAGTATTTATTAGCAGCAGTGTGTTGTGTTGGTGGGATCATTTTCACAGGTTGTCTGGTGAGAACAAAATCTACACTGAAGCATGTGAGCTTGTGGAGCTACAGCATCAGTATGTTCCTCTACAGAATGTAAAGAACTAGAATCATTTTCATCACTGGGACAGACTCAGAGTGTTGAGGTTGAACTGGATTGAAGGATCAAACTCAGATGATTCTCTTCCTGTAGTGGTGGATCGACTTCATCCAGCCGTCCTCCTGCATGTGGGGCACTAAACAAACACACAAAACCAGTAAACACACATATTCCCACATACATATACACATAGAGACAAAAATGACAACTGACTTTTTTCAGTGCTGGCAGAATCAGTATCACATACTTTTGCATTAAATAATAAAGAAGACATAAAGGAACGAGTAAATACATTAAACACCAGAGTGAACAGAAACACTAGTGACTGACGGTGTGTGATATCACCACTTATTTCCTTTACAGTGCAACACCAAGTGTCAATACTGACGCTGATACGTGTTGTGTGCAAAAGCTTCATGTGGTCAGAAAAGGTCAATAAAAAGCAGATTATTTCCATTTACATTCCCAAACATCTTGTGAGTGTTGCTGGTCTTGAAGAATCATCCACAAACAAAACAAATGTGCAGGACAGACAAACTGAGCTCCACTCCACTGTATCCTGATTCCTACTCAGCTTCAGCTTTCTTCTGATTAACTCCTTATTCTGATGTGAGAAACATTTGACAAACCTCCTCAAGCTTCACAGACAGGAGAAGATGGCACAAGTTGTGATGCAAACACATTAGAAGCTGTGCTGACAAATTCACAGATGAAACAGACTGTTGCTTGGACAGGTGTAGGTAGCCTTACGAGGCATGTGGAGGACAAACACTTTCACCAACTGCATCCAACATTTAGCAGTGCTGTATTGTTCCACCTTCTGAACTAATTCTTCTCCAGCTTCTTTCCAGGTACATTCATATAAATAGGGCAGGGGGCTTTCCTTTCCACTTCAAACTGGCCAATCAGGATTCTTCTATCATCCATTTACATCTGAGATCCCACCTACTCAGTGAACCTATAAAACAGCTGCTCTGGAGGAATGAGCCCTCTACATCCTCCAGGACAAGATGGCCTCTGCAAGGAAGCAACTGACAGGTGATGACTTCTGTAAACTTAATGTCTTCTTGAGCGGCGTCTCGCTTTAATCAGACAAATAAACTTAACTTTATAAAGTCCAGTTCTCTCTCAGTATCCACTGGAGTTGTAAAACTAATAAACAGAAAGACAAAACTCTGTGTGGTTCATGTCCACCTCTCTACACAGACGTTCTGCATGTGGTCAGCAGGGAGCTTGTGCCTCGTAACAGACAAAACTGGCTCAGTGAGGATTCACACTTATCGGTTTATCTGCCTTCAGTTTGATTAAAAACAAAAATAGAAGGAAACAAAGAAGTTGAATCTGTGTTCACCGTCACACATCATACAAGCTGCTGAGTTCAAAAGGAAGAACTGCTGGTCTTGTAGTTTGGGTTTAAACAGAGAATTTTCTGACACTCTTT